TCCATGTCAAAGGTTGAGCGGGTATGTGAACTGGTGTAATAAATATTGTAAATATTGTAATATTGTAACTCAATTTGCCAGATCAATGTCTTCGAGCGCCGAAGCGGGCGTGCAATAACGGGTCACTTAGCGCCCACCGCTCAGCAACTAAAGAAATGGCTGCAGGACAATCCCAGCTTTGAAGTAGTGCAGCCTGGCAGTCAGCAGGCGCAGGAAATTGAGGTAGGCAAGATGAAGATATGTATATATATATAATCCAATCTAATCCAATCTTCTCCAGAAACGTCAAAACAAACGGCAGCTAGAGCACTCTACCCCAGAGATTATCACAGTAAAATCTTCTTTATCGTTACCCACACAAAAGACACCGGAAAGTCCGAATAGATCCTTACAGATGCTACCAGCTATGCCCAGCATGGCAAAAAAGGAGAAGCCTGCCGGCAAGGCGACAACTACGCCTAGTCGTTCACCCGAAAAGAGCAGCACGGAAAGACCTGTGAGTAATTCCCAGCCTGAACCCATACGTTTCAATGTGCGACGCACGCTTAAGGAGCAATTGCTGTCGCGCATTAAGGAGGCGCAGGCGGCAGAGTTGCCAACAGAAAAGTCCGATTGGCTGACGGCGGCGGAGGTGGAGAACTTTGTGAAGCGAGTGGAGTCGGAAATGTATCATTCGTTTGGGCGAGATGTGAGCGCCAAGTACAAGTCTAAATATCGATCCCTCATGTTTAACATCAAGGACCGTAAAAATAAGACGTTGTTCGAGAAGATTTGTGCCAAACAAGTAGAGCCCAAGCAACTGGTAAGAATGACCCCTGCTGAGTTAGCTAGCCAAGAGCTAGCCAAGTGGCGTGAGGAGGAAAATCGACATCAGTTGGATATGATTAAAAAGTCCGAGCTGGATTTATTGTCATGTGCACAGAACTACGTGGTAAAGACGCACAAAGGTGAAGAGGTAATCGAATCCAAGCTGGATGTAACACTGCCAGAGGAGGAGTCAGAGTTGGAGGCGAACAAATCAAAGTTCGATAGCTACGACAGCAAGAAATCATCTCAATCTATCATGGACACCTCGCCCGCCACAGAAGTTAATAGTAAAGAGAAGTCCTCTAGGTCGCGGGAAAAGGAGCGAAGCCGTGACCGTGACAGAGACAAACGGCATAGGAGTCACAAGCATCATCATCACCAAAGTGGTAACAAAAGAAGCCGCAGCCGGTCAAGCAGCAGAGGCCGCAGTCAAGAAAAACGCAGCCATAAAAGGCACCATCACGAGAATGAGCTGGATAAAGAGAAAGAACAGCCAACACGGGACAAGCCATCAAATAAGGAACACGCCGAAAAAGTCCAATCCCCGCTGCATAAGAAACCAAACGACAAGAAAGCTGAACCCCCCTTGGTAGCTTTTAATTTGGTTGATCAAATCCTGGAGTCGGAGAAAACCGTGGAAGAGGCCGCTAATCTAACGCAGCCCGTCAAGCAAACATTAAAATCATTGCCTGTAGCCACAAAAACAACAGCAAAAATTGAAGTGCCAACGCCGACTTTAGATAGATACGCTCGCTATGTACAGGGCCTGCCCAACCCGGCAATTTGGACTGGCAATTTGAACATGGTGGATGTCACCAACTTTGATGTGGTCATTCATTCCGTACATGGGGATACCAATCAACTGGATAAGCTACTGCCCATCAATTTGGATGTTATTGGTCGCATAACGCGTGTGAATGTCTGGGAATATCTCAAAAAGATCAAGAAGAGTCCCACCAAGGAGATTGTTATTGTCAGTTTGTTTCCTGCAAGCGTCTCAAACACTGTTAGATTTGACAGCTTTTTCGAATACCTTGACTCACGACAGCGTCTTGGTGTATTGGGTGCCGATTCGGAAAATATTCGAGACTTTTATATATTCCCCTTGGGCACCCGTGATAAGTTGCCCACAGTGCTACACACATTAGAGAGTGTACCCTTCTACGAGGATACGCAACGGCCAAACACGCTGCTCGGCATCATTGTGCGTTGCCTGAGCAAACGTTTGGTTAACTTGAGCCAGACGCTGCCCCTACCATTAACCACTGCCAGCAACAAAACTGCAAAGGTAGCATTAGATTACATATCTGAAAGATGTTGACTATATTTTTTCCCGTTTTCTTGTTTCAGAGTTCCAGCAAAACACGCGTTAGAACAACATTCACGCCTCCTAGCAGTCCGAAGCGCAAGCATAGCACGCACTCGACCAGCTCCAAGGACGACGAGTTCGATATTGACGCCATTATCAAAGCGCCTATTGCCAAGCTGCAAAAGTGTGAGTGCTGTGAATATTAGCTAAACCCATTCGTCAGCTGCAATAAAAGATATTGTTCAATTCCAGCCAACGTTTCGGCGGAAGCACTGGCTAGCATAGATGATCCGAATGCGCCATATTCGCCCGGAGGCAGCTCTGACGACAATGATGATTTGCCCACATCGGCTCCAGGCAATAAGAATGACCTGGAGCGCAAAGTAAATGAAATTAATAGGCAAATCGCAGCGCAGCGCATGGAAATAGCCGGCCTCTTAAATGTAGAGCCATCTGTGAGTGCCCCGAGAGCATTGCAATTAAGAATTGCCCTAAATAATCCTGTTTCGATTCACAGATTCTAGACAAACCCTCGTCATCATCCAAAATGCTAGCCAGCATATCAATACCGCCTAACCTGACGAAGATTTTGGCTAGCCTAAAGGAGAAAAGTGAGTCGCAAACAAGACCAAAGTCAAGCGAAGATGAGGAGTACAATCCAGAAGATGCAATAACTTCAAACAGCTCATACGGCATGGGTAAGAGGGTGGATTATAAATTGATTTTGATTTGAACATCATCACCTTAACAATTTTTTAGCTACTAAAAGTGCAGTGGGTGCGACAAAGGCTAAAAGTCGCTTGGCGCAGCTAAGTGAAGCAGAGCTTCTTAGTATGGTGCCGGATAATATGGTGGATCTAACGCCGACAAATTCTGCCACTAACGATGAGCCCCCACCGCCTGGTGTTTAGGCTAAGGCTAAGCGCAGTACGGTTATAATAATCATAATTTAGAATTTACGTGTGTACTTGACTAGCTTTGATCTACCTAATCTTAGTTTTGAATGGAATTCAATTTATAAATATCCTTTGATTTTCACCTATCATTATGTACATTCACGTTCAACGAATTGAATACCATTTCTGTATTATACCCAGCAATCGAAACAATTGAAAAGATGTCTGTGTTTGGATACAGTTGGTTTTTCATTTTATTAAACACACAAATTCGGAAATTGTAGGGTTTCCTTTAGGCATACCAACTAACCTTCTAAGTTCTTGTACATTTTTCCTAAATACAAATAAAAAATTGCTACGTAACATTCTTAATAGGGATAGTATAGTATAGTATATAGTATATTGATATTGTATATATTGTTTTGATTGCATACTTAGGTCATCTGACATGGATCAAACTGGCTATCGAAATGGGCACAAGATATTTTTGGTCCATTGTGCACTCTGGGAATGGCTATACGAAAGAGTATGCCAATCGGCATGCATACGCAAATCTTGTACTGTACACTACCAGTGCGAAGACCCAGCTCCGAACTGACAATCGGTATGCGATCCATGTCTAGGAAAATTCCTTTGCCTGCCTCCAATACTGTTGCGCCCTGTGTTGAGTTAACCGAGACGTGATGCTTGACATGCAGCTCTATGATAGTCCCATCGAGGAACACGCCCTCGGAGCCCTTGATGGAAATATGCCCGTCACTATCTATAAGCAAAGGTGCGTTAATGGGGCTGGAAATGCGGCTAACACTGGCCACCTTGGTTTGTAGGCCACCATCCACTCCATCAGGTATATTGTATTGTGGGCGGTGCGTTGTAAACAATATCGATTGATCAACTGGATCTTTGATTTCAAACACATTGGCTTCTATGGCAATTCCCGCCTTGTCGAGCACAACTCGATCGCGTTCGTTCGGGACACTGGAAGCGGCACCATTACCATTGCGAAAGACTCGTAAATGCACTCCACTGTCCTCGCCATCGCTGCTGATCGTTACGGGTACATCGGAGAAGCCGTGAATTCCAATTGTATTCGTTTGGATGCGATCCAAATCGGTTTCATCATAGAATTTAACTAAATCAACTTCCGGAATAAGCTCCATGCCCTGTACACCCTTGCCCAAACGTAGCACACCCATAATTGTGAGAGTCAGGATCAAATTGCCAATTGTCAAGATTAGCAGGACTACGACAGCGATCCAAAATGCAAAGCTATTACGTCTTTTACGGCTGGGATGTAAATGGGAACAGCTATCATCATCGTATGCACAATTGAACTTCTCATCGAAGAAATTTACGGTGTCCGTCTTCGAATCAATCCGGGCCAGATCCATGTCGGCAGCTCCAATAGGCAGTGTTACGGATAAGGCAGTTTCCGAGTTTGCTTCGTCTGAGTATGATGGCGAAGGGCCTCTTATAAAAGTATTTTCAAAAATGTCCATTTTTCGTTCTAGTAGACTGCTGAACTGTCTCTTGCCAACTTATCTGCTGTGTGTATGCGGTACGAGGAGTATATATAATTCAAATTTAAACGCATGCGCATTGCACAGATTAAACCAGTTTTGGCGCCAAATTTAAACGTCCGAGGGGTAAATGACATACAGGTTGTCGGGTACAATTTATTTAAAGATTGGTTAAATTTGTAACCTATCCAGCTGGACATTGTTCATAAACCAGCTTAAACAATTTAATTATATATATCATAACCAATATTTTTATTTGCTGAACACTCTCTCTATACATAATAATAAATCAACTAGTTAACAATAGTTGAATAAATTCTTTCAATCCTAATGATGAGTAATTAACCGTATTTAGACATTTAGTTATTTAATTGTACTTGGTAATTATTAACTATTTTTATTGCGCAACTTAAAAATACGTGTGAAAAGTAACTAAACGCGGCCCATTAGAAAAGAGCGAACGATAAACATGGTTCGCTCTTTCGGTTCGATTGAACTTATTCCGAACGATTCGATTCAACTCCAATCTATATTATTTCATTTTCGCAACATGTCCTTTAAGGTAAGATTAGAATATAATGTAAGTAATTTTCTTGTATGACAGCTTTTTATTTGAATATGATGCAGCCAATTGATCCGAAACGCGATGAGATTCGTCGCTATCTGGAACGCGGAAGCGTTCTCGATTCACTTACAAAAATATTTATACGTGTAATTAAGGAGCGCCCAGAAAACCCAATGGAGTATATACAAAACAACATTGGCGTGGTGCGGCATCAGCACGATAAATATGAACGCCTATCACAGGATCTACAGGAGGCGAACGAAGAAATCCAGCGTTTGCGTGCCATTATAAATAGCATTAATCCAGAGGTGCTGCAGGGACAGGGTCAGCACGCTGCCGGCGAATCCGATTCCGAGCCAGTGACAGTTGCCGTGCAAGTTGAGGACTCTTTCGAGTCGGAGATCACGCCAGAAGTCAAACCGGCTCTATCTGAAGGAAACAAAGTAGAAAATGCAGCTGTTGACAAAGCCGATAAAGAGTTAAGCGCCGCCTTAGACAATTGCCACATTGAAGAAAACAACATGGCTGCTGGCAACACGATCGATAATACAAAGCATAGCATATCCGTCCAAGCTGAACCCGGCCACACTGATAATACCGAGTGAATCATTATACTAACTGGCTAAGCTGACTTAAAGCATACCATTAGAATGGATTCTCGTAGAAATGTTACCAGTTTGTAAGACTAAGAAGTGTTTTAAGGTATTTTCCTAAATATTAATAAAACGTGTATGAAGGCACGCAAATTCCTTAAATGGCTTCAAGTATTTGATAACTATAGGCATATGAATGTCGCATTAGTGGGTTTTTTAAATATTTATTGAAATCAATTTTATAATTCATACACGTGGTATATCATTTGCTTATTAATACAAAGGATTATTGATAAGACATATTAATAATAGTAAGTTATTTGTTTTGTTTTTTTATCTCTTTTTTTTTTTAAACACATCTTAAAAATGATAAACATGAAAAAAATAAAATTGTACATGTAAGCATGGATCGAATTACAAGAGGTTCATCATAATTGAAAAATGAAAACGGACTTGGGCATAAAATAAGACATGGACCAGCTGTACCCAATGGTTGGCTGCAATGTGGACGAACATAAACTGATTTTGTATTTCGAAGGTCAAAACTTAGTGTTTACTTTTACTTTCTTGGCAAGCGTTCACTCTTTGATTTCTTTCTTTCTTTCTCGTTTCTTTCAATTTTTCCATTTGTATGCCATAGTTTTAATTTAATTATTTGTTTTTTTTTTACAAAGCCCTACTACGTTTATTTTGACCGACTGTTACAGTCGCCTTGATCGTATGTCTATGTGAAATTAAATTGATCTTGTACTAACATTTTAGTCTCGCGTTTAAATTGGACAAAACTATTTGAACATGCATGTGTGCATGTGTCGATATACGACTATTGTGGATAGAGGTGTGGTTGTATGGTTATATGTTAATCGAAATAAATGGTTTCTACGTAAATGATGCCTGTTTGAATGCATGCGAATGTTTTGTAATTGAAGCAAATCTCTTTATTTCTTAAAAGGTCAAATGTTGTCCAGGATTGGTTTGCATTTTATAAAGTTTTTTACTGGACGCAGAGCGTTCGGTTCTTCCCTCTCTGGCCGCATAGTCGGTGCTAGGTTTGTAAAATTAGATTTGCCCCTGCTGACGATAGAAATGTAGATAAGAATTTGATAGGGAAGTCAATATGTTAGTCGCTTTACTTACGTTGAATTATTAAATTTCTTATTGGTTTCTTGCCTGCTTTGTAAAGAAAATTGTTTGTATGTGTATGTGTGTGTGTGTGTGGGTGTGTGTGTGTGTGTGTATGGGAAATTTATTGGTGTTATTACTTTTTACGCTTGTCTGCCGGTTTTAAAATCTGGAATGAGCACATTAGAGAGTCATCCACAGACATCATTGCGCCAGCATTGTCAAATTCGCCGCAGTAATTGGGTGCCGAGAAGAGTGTGACCAGCTGACGCTTTGCAAAGAACTCATAGCCATCCTCGACGACCTGATGGGCGCGGCAAATGAGATCGAACTCGTGCTTCTCCAAGAATTTGGCCACAACCTCAGCGCCAAAGGTGAAACTGACGCCACGATCATTCTCGCCCCAGCCCATGGTATCCTTATCCGGATCGGACCACAGCAAGTCGCATAAAAGACCCTGATCTGGCACATCGGTGGGACGCATAATGCGTCGGATTTGCTCCATCGACGAAAGGTCCGGGCTAAGACCGCCATGGCAACAGAATATCTTCTCATCCACAATGGCCGCTACTGGCAAGCAATTGAAACAATCAGTAAATGTCTTCCACAATTTGATGGTATAGCGGCGCTTGCACTCGTCATAGAATCCATAGATGCGGTTTATGCTGGCGCATTCGTGGTTACCGCGCAGCAAGAAGAAGTTCTCAGAGTATTTGATTTTATAGGCGAGCAGCAAGCAGATGGTTTCTAGCGACTGTTTTCCACGATCTACGTAGTCGCCCAAGAACAGGTAATTTGATTCCGGGGGAAAGCCACCATACTCGAAGAGGCGCAGCAAATCGTAATATTGGCCATGTATGTCGCCGCAAATCTTCAATGGTGCTTCCAGCTCCAAAAGTATGGGTTGCGAGAGAAATATCTCTCGCGACTTCAGACAGAGGCCACGAATTTCGCTCTCGGAGAGCTGAACATTTTTGCCAGGCCGTGCCCCACGCACTTCCAGAAGTCTTGATATGATGCTGTCGATATTCATAACATCGCCCATGTTTCTGTATTGTTTTTTGCTGCGCAGTTACTGTGCTTGAATTTTCCACCGAAGAATGGCAAGTAGCTCTGATGTATATTTTTCACTATAAATATTTTTCACAGCACAGCTACTACCAGAAAATTTCTCCAGTGTGCCCACATTTCACAAAAAAAAAAACAGGAGGAAGTGAAATGGGCAGTTAGTCACACATTTCACAAGCAGTGTGTCCCACTTGCACTCACAGGGTTGCGCCGTTGCCCGCCATATGCGTCGTTTGGCTATTGTTGGCGTGGTGCAAGCAGGACAACTATGGCTCTAATTTTAAGCACCTTGCCAACTTGATTTCAAAATACTATACGGCAACATCATTAGCGTGCTATAAAATAAAATTTAAACTATTTAACGGTTAAAAAATACTGACCAAATATATTAGCCAATTTACCAATTTCCATTTAATGTAATGTAAGTGTACGTCTTTTCAATAATCGAAGTTTTGTACACAACTATTTTTTTTCTTTGGTCACACAATCGTGAATGCTGTCTCACTTAAGCTTTGCGCTAAATTAAATTGGTTAATTGAATCAGCGCCTGTTAAAAATGTTGCTCGAAATTATTACTAAAAAGGAATGTAATGAGGTATATTTAATTGCGGAAATTGGCCAAAATCATCAGGGTTGTCTTGAAACTGCCAAATCGATGATACTAGAGGCCAAAAAAGCGGGTTGCAATTGTGTGAAATTTCAAAAATCCGATTTGAAAGCGAAGTTCACCCGTTCCGCCCTTAATCGAACATATGAGAGCAAACACTCTTGGGGTAAAACCTACGGTGAACATAAGGAATTTCTTGAATTCTCCAAGGAGCAGTATCAGCAGCTGCAAGCATATAGTAATGAAATTAAAATTGGTTTCACTGCATCTGCAATGGATGAGGTAATTAAGAATGCCTTTGATTATCACAGTTGGTCTAGTATCTGTAATAATGATATTGTTTATTTTTGAATTTTGCAGCCCTCTTTGGACTTCCTGGTCGATTTGAAGGTACCCTTTATTAAGATTGGTTCGGGAGATGCGAATAATTTTCCACTCCTGACAAAAGCTGCAAGTCTCAATATACCTCTAGTAATATCGACCGGAATGCAAACCATGCAAACAGTTGATAAAATCGTAGAAATTATGGAGCAAGCGGGCAATAATCAATATGCATTGATGCACTGCGTCTCTGCCTATCCGACTCCACCGAATGACTGCAATTTACAAATGATCGCAACACTAATGCAACGTTATCCCACTGTTACCATTGGTTACTCTGGGCATGAGCTGGGTATACGCATCACGGAGGCAGCTATATTGACGGGAGCTAGGATAGTTGAGCGACACTTTACACTGGACAAGAATCAGAAAGGCTCCGATCATCGCTGCTCTCTTGATCCCAGCGAAATGTGCTCGCTGGTCCGCTGCATAAATGAATTTAAGCATAACGCATATATTTCCAGCTCTAGCCTCAGTGCTGATCAAGTAGTTACAATCTTGGGTGGCGGAAAACAGTTGGAGCAAGCACTACAAGAAGGTAACGGAAAGTACAAAGTTATTTTAGAGAGCGAACTGCCTTGTCGCCACAAATTGGGTAAATCAATTGTGGCTGCTCGAAATCTGGAGGTAAGGCAACAAATTCAAGCGACTGATTTAGCAATTAAGGTCAGCGAGCCGTCGGGTATTCCTGCAGAAAAATATTTTGACATAATTGGCATGAGGCTAAAGGACAGTGTCTATGAAGATGAGCCCATTACTGAGAATATGCTGATACCATAAGTCAGCGGCGTTTATTGATTACGTTTCTTAATAAAATGTAATAAAATTCCTATTGACTAGTTTATTCAGCTGCGTCGTCGCTGCCTACATCCTCATTTTCATTCTCGATCATTTCAATATCTTCCTCAAGATCACCTTCCTTTTTGTCGGTCGGTTTCTCATATACGGGTTTTAGCGGCGATACAACTACTCCGTTCCATACGGACATTTCGCGCACAATGCTTGTGTTGCCCTCCAATCCAAGTATGTGCTTGTATCCACCGTGGGCTAATACTCGCAGTAGTGTCTGAGCCGTATAGCAGCATACGTCCTGCTGCTCGAGAGTCATAGCTGTGTGGACCCGAATGTGACCTGGCTCGGTGGGGTCGGTTATACCCGCAGATCCTGGAAGAAAGAGTCCAGCAGACAGCAATTGAAATACACGACGAAACGCCAAATTGATAGGCAACGCTTGGCGCGATGGATTGTTCATTATTGCCAGATGGGCAATCAAATCAAGCATCCAGGCGGAGAGTGGTGAAAAGGCTTCAAATCGCTTTGTCAGATCCTTTAAAATACGTATGAGGACTTTAATTGACGAATGGTGAGCATTCTCCTCGAACCAGCGAGTATGACGTATTGCCGCTAAATGGCTCTGCATCAGCTTATGATCCAAATGTATTTCCGGCTCGAGTTTACGGATGTTCTGCGGCAATGTGGAAATAAGAATGCGCACTTTGGCTTGCAAATTGGCCACATCGAAGCCTCTGTCGTGTATTTGTATGGTGTGTTGTTCACCCTTGGTCAACACTTCGGTTTTCATGCTATTTTTTAAATCAGTCTCCACCTTCTTGGCCAGCGCTTCGCAAGCTTCTTTAGTAGGCAGTGTTTTAAGGATCACCACAACATCTGCCACATTGTTTCCAGTGAGGATAGTGCCTTTTTTGAAAGATCCCACTTGCCGCACTTCTTCCAATTGCTATAGTGTAGTATATTATTAAATGTGAATTTATATGGGTTTATCTTACTCTGGCAACTTACACAAGTATTGAAATCGCCTGGCGCAACGACTAAGTTATCTAAAACAGCTTGCACCTTAGTTACCAAGTTTCCAATTGCCGTCTGCTCGGCCGGAGTTGGACTAAGATCTTGGTTGCGTTTCAATAGGGCCTAATGAAAGCCAATGTAAACAAATACATGTTTGATTGTATTCATATAAATAATTGTATTATTATCGATTTTACCGCAGTCAAGGCAGAATCATCCACAGCCGGCGAGACTTTGGGAAACACAACTTCGGCCAAAGTTAAATCAAATGGATGACGAGGTACAAATGTTTTCTTGAACGGCGGCCGTATGCCACCGCGCATAGGCCTGCCGCCTCGAAGCGCTCCACGTACCATACTTTTATTATAATGAATAATTTTGACGAAATTTATTGCAAACTGAACCAGCAAGTCCCACTCTACGACAGTTTTCAATG